GTGTAGTGAAGGATAGTGATCATGTATAGTGTAGTGAAGATGTTGTATAGTGATGTGTAGTGAAGGATAGTGATCATGTATAGTGTAGTGAAGATGTTGTATAGTGATGTGTAGTGAAGGATAGTGATCATGTATAGTGTAGTGAAAATGTTGTACAGTGATGTGTAGTAAAGAATAGTGATCATGTATAGTGTAGTGAAAATGTTGTATAGTGATGTGTAGTGAAGAATAGTGATCATGTATAGTGTAGTGAAGATGTTGTATAGTGATGTGTAGTGAAGGATAGTGATCATGTATTGTGTAGTGAAGGATAGTGATCATGTATAGTGTAGTGAAGATGTTGTATAGTGGTGTGTAGTGAAGGATATTGATCATGTATAGTGTAGTGAAGATGTTGTATAGTGATGTGTAGTAAAGGATAGTGATCATGTATAGTGTAGTGAAGATGTTGTATAGTGATGTGTAGTGAAGGATAGTGATCATGTATAGTGTAGTGAAGGATAGTGATCATGTATAGTGTAGTGAAGATGTTGTATAGTGATGTGTAATAAAGAATAGTGATCATGTATAGTGTAGTGAAGATGTTGTATAGTGGTGTGTAGTGAAGGATAGTGATCATGTATAGTGTAGTGAAGATGTTGTATAGTGATGTGTAGTGAAGGATAGTGATCATGTATAGTGTAGTGAAGATGTTGTATAGTGATGTGTAGTGAAGGATAGTGATCATGTATAGTGTAGTGAAGATGTTGTATAGTGGTGTGTAGTGAAGGATATTGATCATGTATAGTGTAGTGAAGATGTTGTATAGTGATGTGTAGTAAAGGATAGTGATCATGTATAGTGTAGTGAAGATGTTGTATAGTGATGTGTAGTGAAGGATAGTGATCATGTATAGTGTAGTGAAGATGTTGTATAGTGATGTGTAATAAAGAATAGAACATAAGAACATAAGAAAATAAGGAGTCTGCAAGATGCCGGTTGGCCTGTGCATGGCAGCTCCTGTCGAGAGTTACTACCACTCTCTATCATCCATGAATCTATCCAGCCTCCTTTTGAAACTTTCCAGCGTCCCAGCACTTACTACAAAGTTGGTAAGCTTGTTCCACTCGTCCACCACCCTATTTGTGAACCAGTTTCTTCCTATCTCGCTCCTAAACCTAAACTTATCCAACTTGAATCCGTTGCTCCGAGTCCTATCCTGCTCGGATATTATGAGAACTTTATCTATATCCCCTTTATTGATTCCTTTCACCCACTTAAATACTTCTATCATATCTCCCCGCACTCTTCGTCTTTCTAGGGAATGCAAGTTAAGTTTCTTTAACCTATCCTGATATGGAAGGTTTCTAAGTCCCGGAATCATTTTTGTCATTCTTCGCTGCACCGACTCTAGTGAATTTATATCCATTCTATAATAGGGGCACCAGAACTGAACCGCATAATCGAGGTGCGGCCTAACTAGCGCAAGATATAGTTGCAATAAGACCTCTGCACTCTTGTTACTTACACTTCTAGATATAAAACCCAATACTCTGTTTGCCTTATTTCGAACATTAACGCACTGTTTTCTAGGCCGTAGGTCCGGGCTTACAAGTACCCCTAGGTCTCTTTCACAAGTCGACTTCTCTAGGTTGATGTTGTTAAGGCTGTATACATTACAGTATTTGTTCTTCCAATATTAAGTACGCTGCACTTGCTGGTGTTGAATTTCATTTGCCATTTTTCAGACCACCCCTGCAGTTTATTTAGATCCTCCTGTAATGCATTTGCATCCTGCCCTGAATTAATTTGCCGCCCTATTTTGGTGTCATCCGCAAACTTGCTTATGTCACTGCTGATCCCAGTATCTAAATCGTTTATGTAGATTATGAACAAGAGTGGGCCTAGTACTGACCCCTGGGGAACCCCACTGGTTACACGGCCCCACTCAGATTTAACACCATCTACGCTGACCCTCTGCGTTCTATCGGTGAGCCATGATTTTATCCAATTTAAAACTTTCCCCTCGATACCATGAGCCTTAATTTTTCTCAGAAGCCTCTGATGCGGTACTCTGTCAAATGCTTTGCTAAAGTCTAAGTAAATAACATCGTAATTTTCGTCATTATCTACTACCTCGAAGACTTTCCTAAAAAACGTTAGCAGATTTGTTAGACAAGATTTTCCCTTTGTAAACCCATGTTGAGAGTCGTAGATTAATTTGCTTTTCTCTAGATGCGATCGGATGCTATCTGCTATAATTGATTCAAGAAATTTCCCCACTACTGACGTCAAACTGATCGGCCGGTAATTTGACGCTGATGCTCTGTCTCCCTTTTTGAATATGGGTACTACATTTGCCTGTTTCCACAACTCTGGCACAACTCCAGTGTCTAATGATTTTGTAAATAAGTTTACGAGGGGTCCGCTAATCTGTTCCCTACACTCTTTTAAGACTCGAGGAAAAATTTCATCCGGCCCTGGGGATTTTGTGTTCTTTAGTTTATTTATCTTCTTAAGAACATCCTCTTTTCTGATAGTGATATTCTTTAATTTCTCTTCTTCCTTTCCCTTAAATATCAGTTCCACCTCCGGAATTTCATCGCAAATTTCTTCTGTGAAAACTGATAAGAAGTAGCTGTTCAATGCTTTGCTTATTTCTTCACTGCCATTTATCACTTCTCCCCTCCCTGACTTTAAAGGCCCAACTTTGTCCTTGACCTTTGTCCTATATACCTGGAAAAATCCCTTGGGATTCGCCTTGGATTCTCTTGCTATTTTGATTTCATAGTCTCTCTTTGCTTTCCTTACATTTTTCTTAACATTCCTAGATAGTTCATTATACCTGTTTCTGAGCTGCTCCTCCCCTCCCTTTAATTTCTTATATATTCCTTTCTTTATTCCTATGTCATGTTTAAGTTTTCTGGTCATCCACCTTGGCTCATTCTTATTTGACCTAATTTTTCTGTATGGTATATTTTGTTCTTGTGCTTTATGTAGTATACTAGTGAATATATTATAGTCATGATCAATTGTTGTGTCATCTATGACCTCACCCCTTCCTACTGGGGACTGACGTGACTGTTCCCAGGTGACCTCACCTAGGTACCTTCTTAACCCCTGATAATCCGCCAACCGAAAGTTTGGGACTCTGACCATATTGTCATTGTTTTTCGTTTCCCAATTTAGGGTGAACCTGATTTCTCTGTGATCACTGTTACCTAGTTCTTCCCCTACTGTGATATCTCTGATAATATTTTCTTTATTTGTTAATACTAGGTCTAATATATTGTCACCTCTAGTAGGTTCTGTAATTAGTTGTTTCAAAAAATTGTCCTGTACTGCGTCTAGGAAGTCTTCAGATTCATAGTCACCTACAATGTTGTCCCAGTCAATATTTCTGAAGTTGAAATCCCCCATAATGCACAGGTTGTTATATTTTGCTGCCCTACTCATTTCCTGCCATATGGGCTGAGCTGCTTCTTTGCCAAGACTTGGGGGCCTGTAAATCACTCCCATAATTAGTTTTCTCTTCCTTCCGTGATTTCTACCCACACAGACTCGGTTCCTATTTCACCCTTTATTGAATTATTAATACAACATTTTAATGTATCCTTGACGAAGAGTGCGACCCCTCCCCCCTTCCTACCTTCCCTGTCCTTGTGAAAAAGGTTGTACCCTTCTATGTGGTACTCTGATAAAAAAATTTTGCTCGCCAGATTCATCCAAGTTTCGGTGATTGCTATGACGTCTACATTCTCGGTACATACAACCGCTCTCAGCAAGTCTATTTTATTTCTAACGCTCCTACTGTTTGTATAGTATACATTTAAACCTACCCTTCCCTGGTCCTGTTTTACCCCTTGTCCTGAGCAACTAATTTTACTTCCCAGGACCTGCTTGTTTTTTGACTCCCACTTTCCCCGACCTCTCTCTACTGGCGAAACCCCCCCTTCGGAGTGACAATTTCACGCTCCAGGGATGCAGACAACGTCTTTACCCCCTCACGAGACAAGTGTACTCCGTCGCGACAGTACAGGTAGTCGTTGCCAGTTATCAATGAATGCCCAACCATTGTTTGCACAATGTTTTTCCTAAACCATGAGAAATATATCCCTTTGCTCAATAACTTCTTTGATTTCAACCTAGATCCTGAAAGTTGAGCAGACTCCTTTGATAAATTCAATTACCTAACCAGATCGATATAATCTGGTTGATAAACATTACGTCCGTGTTATTCTGATTACACGGACTGCAACACATCTGGCAGAATGGGGTCTGAACCTCAGGACCATGTGGCACTGGTCTCATGGCAGATGGAATGTTGGGGGTAAATGATTCCTTGTTTATTTTTTCATTATATCCCTCTATCTTTACAGAGCAAAACAAACAGTCATCACATTATTTTAATCTCCCGCCATACCATAGGGACTCCAAATGGCATAATTTTTCTTACCATATTTGCACAGTCTTAAGCCTTCAACATTAAGTGCAATATACTTTATGTGACGTCCTTGGTTTATACAAATCACCTATTTTCACCCCAAAGTCGGCAAAATATGTCTTTTTCACGGATGCTGTTATTTCTTGTCGTGGCTTAAGCACAACAAAACCCACATATGTAGGAGAATACATTTGGATTGTACAAACATCCACAAGAACATATTTACAACAGGAATAGCATCAAAACGAGGTGATTTACCACTACAACTGCGACACTGAACAATGGTCTTTGCCTCAAGGATTCCATGTGTCAATAACCCTTACGTTATGGACGAAAACTGAAGTCTTACCTGAAATCAACATTAATTACAGGTTACGAAACACTTGTTAGTTGGAAAACATCAAAAGTCATTTAGTATTTTATTTTGTGTGTGTGTATGTCTGTGTTTATTTATGATTTTTCCCTATATTTTTCTTTCTGTCTATGTACCTGTCTCCTACTCTAACCACCCATCCGTCTATTTGTTCACTTACCGTCTCCTACCCTAACCACCCATCCGTCTATTATGTTCACTTACCTGCTTGTTCTTAGCCATAACAATAATCACAACGAGATTATTGAACATGCCGAACATTCCGATGAACAAGAGGAAGAACGCCGATATATAATAACCTTCTTCTGATAACTTGTTGCTGGTGAAGTTACTCTGAGCGCCCCCTCCCTCCATTGCGACAGCGACTGGGTATACCATGGAAAATAGTTTTGTCACCCCTTCAAATTCCTCCGTGCTCTGATTATGCCCGATAGCGTTCATATTTCAGATTATAACATTCATATACGTTGGTTTGTAACGTTTTTTGGTGTTTGTTAGAGTTGATGGATGTTATTAGCGTTAATTTGAAGGTTGATTGGTGTATTTTATTGTATTTATAACCTAAGAAAATGAGTTAGTGTTTTGTTACTAATTTCGGATGATTTTCATTTCCGTTTTCTGTGGGTATTTAAGGGGAAACAATTATATTTCCTTCAACGCTTCAGGGAAAAAATTTAGGTTCACTTTTTACCCAACTTTAAGTCTTAAAACTTTATTTACATTTATGTTTAAATGAATACGTAACTTTTGTAGTTTCTAAATACATAATTGGCCAAATTACTGTCATTTGTGTAGTCTTTTTTCAACCAATGAGATTAGTATTTCACTTCCTATCACAAATCAGAGTAATAGTTCAGTTTTTATCAACCAATCAGAGTAGTAGTTCAGTTTATATCAACCAATCAGAGTAGTAGTTCAGTTTATATCAACCAATCAGAGTAGTAGTTCAGTTTATATCAACCAATCAGAGTAGTAGTTCAGTTTATATCAACTAATCAGAGTAATAGTTCAGTTTATATCAACCAATCAGAGTAGTAGTTCAGTTTCTATCAACCAATCAGAGTAGTAGTTCAGTTTATATCAACCAATCAGAGTAGTAGTTCAGTTTATATCAACCAATCAGAGTAGTAGTTCAGTTTATATCAACTAATCAGAGTAATAGTTCAGTTTATATCAACCAATCAGAGTAGTAGTTCAGTTTCTATCAACCAATCAGAGCAGTAGTTCAGTTTCTATCAACCAATCACAGTAGAAGTCCAGTAACAGGACAATACCAAATGAAGTATTGTCCCGTTAGAGAAATGGCCCGGATACAGCATTAAATGGCCCGGATACAGCATTAAATGGCCAGATACACTAGTCCATGGCCAAGGGGTGTTGGAGGTACAGCGATAACGTACATAACTCAAGAATATGTTCAGAGTTATCGCCTCGGTCCAGACACACGTGAGAAGAATGTTATCTAATGTGACTCTTACCACCACACATCACACACGTTTCCTTCTGTACTAACTCTGGTAAACCTTCCAAACGGTCAATATGATTAAGAAAAGGCCTAATACAGTGTTTATTGGCCAGATATAGTAGTTAATGGCCAAATACACTTATCAATGACCAGGTATCAAGCCATTTTCGTCAAGGCATTTTAAACCACTCAGTAAAGTCACACCAGGACGGCGCCATACGGTGACCCGAACACCATGCCTACTGGGGGCTGACTGAGGCGTGTTGGTGATCGCGGCTGCTCTTATATACAACTAAAAACACGTGGCAGTCTTCTCGCGCGTCACGTGACCTCTAACAAGCTTTAATAGGTCAATAGAGGTCATAAAATGTTATTATATTTATTGTTTAATCGTATTTTAGGCCTATTTTTTTTATTTCAATCCATTTAAAATTGGTTAAACAAACACAACTGTCAAACAAAAACTAATTTATAAAAACAAACGACATCAGACATAAACAAGTGACGTCATACATGCACAAGTGACGTCAGGCATGCACAAGTGACGTCAGGCATGCACAAGTGACGTCAGACATACAATCCTCAAACATTCACTTGTGTTTTGTTAGGTCGTTATGACGTATGAATCACCACAACCATCGTTTCGTCCTTGCCTCGGTGTCGGGATAACCAGCGTCTTTGTAAACCTTGGTCACGGCATAGAGGAATAGACAGAGAGAGAGAGAAAAATAAATACTTTAATTCCAGATTTTTTTTGGTATATTTCACTAAATATATTCACAGTATAACAGATATATTCCAAACACAGATTTATTCTACCCCGATTTTGGGTATTTTCTGATTTATTGTAGAGATTTTATTTATAGAACGTAATTTGGGTAGATTTTCGGCTAGTTTATATAAATTTAGGCTATTTTTTTACAGATCTTGGCAACGTTTTCTAAATTTTGGCGATTTTTTTACAGATTTTGGCTATTTTTTTACAGATCTTGGCAACGTTTTCTAAATTTTGGCTATTTTTTACAGATCTTGGCTATTTTTTTACAGATCTTGGCAACTTTTTCCCAATCGTGGCTACTTTTTACACATACCCAAAGTTATATAGCATGGTTTAACGATATACTTTCATCATAGGGTCGATATATATATTATCTTATATAGGAATAAGTTGAAGTATATTATATCATGACTCAGACTAGATACTGCATAGGAAGAGTTATAGAGACGCATAGAGACACATAGAGACACATTAGAGACGCATGGAGACACATAGAGAGACAGAAGAGAGAGGGGAAGGAACAGACACAGAGACAGACAGACAGACGGATGGACAGACTGGCTAGGTGCATCATCTGTTTACATGCATTATATATGTACTGTATATACATAATTTCCCTCTACATAATATATATAAATGACTATAACATCATTATCCATCTTTTATAAACAGACATCTAACTAAAAAAATCCCTAAACCTTTAAAAAAAAACCACAAAATTTACCTAAAACCCTAAATATAAAAAAAAATTACCCTAAAACTCGACAAAAATTCCCTAAAACGTCAAGATATAAGGAATTTACCCTAAACTAAGAAATTCTCTCATTAGACGCGACAAAAATTCCCTAAAACGTCAAAATATAAGGAATTTTCACTTAAATTCCTTGAGGATAATGTTTTAACCCCTTGAGGATGATGTTTTAACCCCTTGGGCATTTTTTAACCCTTTGAGGATGATGGTTTAACCCTTTTAGCATGTTTTAAACTTTTGACGACTGTTTTAACCCATTGATGACTGTTTTAACCCATTGACGACTGTTTTAACCCATTGATGACTGTTTTAACCCATTGATGACTGTTTTAACCCATTGATGACTGTTTTAACCCATTGATGACTGTTTTAACCCATTGATGACTGTTTTAACCCATGGATGACTGTTTTAACCCATTGATGACTGTTTTAACCCTTTGACGACTGTTTTAACCCATTGAGGACTACGATTTAACCCTTTGACGACTGTTTTAACCCATTGAGGACTACGATTTAACCCTTTGACGACTGTTTTAACCCATTGATGACTGTTTTAACCCATTGATGACTGTTTTAACCCATTGATGACTGTTTTAACCCATTGACGACTGGTTTAACCCATTGATGACTGTTTTAACCCATTGACGACTGGTTTAACCCCTCTAGGAGTCACAGGATCAAACATAATAAGTATAGTAACGATTAGGCGTTGATGTCGGTCTCGATGGCCTGTTGATGAGTACCTGGGCTGTAGTGGTTCTGGTGACGTAGATTGGTGCTGTAGTGGTGACGAAGCGATCTACAGTACTGACAACATACGCGGGGACAGTCGTAGTTATGTAGTTGTTTATCGGATGTGTTGTAGTGAGTCGGACTTCAGATATAGCCGTGGTTGTTAAGTAGAGTGGTATTGTGGTTGTCTGAGTAACTATAACCTCTTTCAGCTCGGTTGTAGTTATGTAGTGAGGTTGTGTGGATGTCTGGGTGATAATAACTTGCCTGTAGTCTGTACTTGTAATATATGTAGGTATTTCATGGGTTTGTGTGACGTAAACATCCTCGTAGGCTGTTGTTGTCGTGTGGGTTGTGATGGTGGTGTAATCTATAGCAGTTGTAGTGACTATAGTTGTAGAGGTAACGTACTGTGTGTCAAAATGGGTTTCTGTAACGTATGTAGGAATGTGAGATGTTTCAGTAAATGTGGAATAGAATGTTGTGTATATTGGAACCTGTTCTGTTTGTGTGTCTGTTAAGTACTCAGTTCTGTACTTGGTATGGTAAACAGTACTCAATAATGTACTATATATTGGTACTTCTAATACTGATGTATCTGTTTGGTACTCTGTTTGGTACTCAGTCTGGAATATGGTTGTGTACACTGGGACTTCCTGGTACTCTGTCTCCGTAAAGTACTCTGTTCTGTACTCTGTCTCGTACTCTGTATTGTACACGGGGAGTGGAGTAGTCTGTGTACATGAGAACAATATATTAGATATGTACACACTTTATGTACGTTTCTATATACACATAATGTACTATAAAATAGATATACACACATAAATGTACACATACTTTACCATACATGTTAGTAGAGAATTACACACACACACACACACACACACACACACACACACACACACACACACACACACACACACGGAAACATAAACACAACAAGTACACCTATACACACACAGCTATATACACAGAAATGTACACATGTAAACAATGTGCACACAGACACGTACACACTCCACAAGTATACACACACACACACGTACATAAACACACATACATATACAGTACACACATGCGTCACCTCTCATAGACAGAATAACAGAGAGAGTGAGAGAGAGAGAGAGAGAGAGAAAGAGAGAAAGTCCCTAACCATAAGCCCTCAGAGTCTACAGAAACGCAAACTCACTTTTGTTGACAGAAATCTCTCTCCATAGGTGTGTTGGTACCACTGCACTCCCGAGGAAAAACTATCGTACGTAAACATACATACATACATACATACATACATACATACATACATACACCTATAAACAAAAAAACACTTACATAGGTCAGGTATTCTGTGCTTCTATGAGTGACGTAACTAATGCTGGTGTCCGTCAGTGTCTTAGTCAATTCCACCTGTAAATGTAAATAATTATTGTAAATGAGGTGTAAAAAATGTGTACATGGGTGAAAATTGGTGTTAATTGGTGTAAAATAGTATAAATCGGTGTAAAACTGTGTAAATCGAGGTAAAATGAAGTAAAACTGCTGTAAATTGGTAGATACAAGTATAAATACAGTTCACAATACAGATATCAATCACTTCCTTATAACGTAACACGGAAGTAGTGTCATACTAGTGGTCACAGCTGTCATGGGAGACTGTCACGTGTGGCTGTTATGTGTCACGTCAATCTGTCATCAAGAACTGTCATATCACACTACACATGACAGATTCACATACAAAAAAAAAACTCATGATTTATTTCTCAAAAGTTCCTTGTTTAGTTAAGTAAATCCCTGAGTTTATGACAGAAAATGGGTTGTGTTATTATAGAAAACGGGTTGATAGACAGACAGAGAACCAGACAGACAGACAGACAGAGAACCAGACAGACAGAGAACCAGACAGACAGAGAACCAGACAGAGAACCAGACAGACAGACAGACAGAAAGACAGACAGACAACTAGAAAGAGAGAGAGAGAGAGAAAGATGACGATGGACAGAGAAGAAAATAGATTGAACCAGACAGACAGACTGAGAGAGAGACAGACAGACAGACAGACAGAAGAAGACAGACAGACAACTAGAAGAGAAGAGAAAAAAGATGACGATGGACAGAGAAGAAAATAGTTGAACCAGACAAGACAGAGACGAAGAGACAGACAGACAGACAGACAGAGAGAGAGAGAGTAAAAAAAACCCCGTGAAAATATAGTTAGTCAGCATCTCAACTTTCCTTTTTCACAGCAGCTTTCATTCTCTCTCTCTCTCTCTCTCTCTCTCTCTCTCTCTCTCTCTCTCTCTCTCTCTCTCTCTCAAGTAGCATACGTTACTTAAGGAGCCACAAAAGTGAAAGTATCGCTCATTAAGTAATTTTGTTTCTAAGTATATTGTAAGTAACTACATGTTTCAATTATCACCAGGCCATTGATCTTACCTTTCTCTTACTTATAAATGTAAGTAATTGTAAGTAAAGGTATTGGTAGAGAGTAAAGTAAAGTCTCTGTATTTTTTTAAGTAATTTTTTGTGTTTTTTTAAGTTAATTATTTGTGTTAGGTGGAATATTTAGTGTAAATAATTTATGCCTGTTGTCTCTGAATGTTATGACGTCACGCTCTGATAATTTCTCTCGCCTCAGTTGCCATTTATAATATCTTCAAGTGATTATTTTATAGTTATTTCAGCTGACTGTTAGCTTCACGCATCGTTTCTCTTCGTAATTATTGTATATTTTCTCTCTTACGACAGTTTAAAGACGCTATAGTCATGACAGTTATAAAAAAAAGTCGCCTCATCTTACGTATGGTGTCATCGTACATCGTCATCTTGACCATAACATAACATGGCTGACGTTTGAAAAGTTATCGTAATTGTAAAACTTTTATTTTCTCATATACTCACATATTATATCTTATTTATATACAAAAATCTATCATAATATTATTTAAAGACATAAAAGATAATTTATAATATTTAAATCTTTAAAATAACGACGATATCTTATAAAATACAAACACTTCCTTGAAAAAATATGACGTCATACATCACCATCACAACCAAACCCAAACACGCGACTTCCTCCTCCTCAAACAATAATCATTTAGTGACGTAATAATCGTTTTGTGGCGAAAGTTCACACACACACACATCCACCTTCCAGTAAATCACTCTCAGGTGATTGTGTGACGCTTGAGAGACTGGCCAATCATTCAGGCGTGGTCAAGATGATGCTGAAATGAGTGTTTGTGGAGAATCATTGACTTTTAGTTACGGTCCAGATGATTGGATGGTGTTGAAATCTCTCTCTCTCTCATTTCTTCGTTTTAATCTCCATCTATCTGTCTTTCTCTCTATCTATCTGTCTGTCTGTCTGTCTGTCTGCCTGTCTGTCTGTCTGTCTGTCTGTCTGTCTGTCTGTCTGTCTGTCTGCCTGTCTGTCTGTCTGTTTATCGAAACCACGGGCCGTATAGACATCAAACAAGCGTAGGTAGTTGGTAGTCATTTCAGTAAACACGGGAAGGAGTTCATCTTTACATTTCAACGCTGGAGATTAAGAACGTGCAGATTACTGGGTGGAAAGTTACCCGAGAGGTGGAGAAGCAGACAGACAGATAGACAGAATGGGAGATAGTAAATTTAATCAATACACCACAACATTTATTTACGGTATGATATGTTGGACAAACTTCCCGGCACCAAAAACAGTACACAAACGAAGGCAATTTTCGCGCGCTTTTTTAGCACCCATTAAAATTCCCTAAGCGTCTCGATAATGACGTCATATAAATCACAAAACTTACTCGAATTGTCTAAAGGTATTTGAAAGTATTTAAAGTATGTTATTTATTCACACTAATTGGTATTTATTGAGGTATATTTGTGATTGAAAGTACGGTTTTTATGTAGTTTTGGTGACGTTTGAGTTATTTTTGTGTGGTAGTTTAAGTGAGTCAGATACGTTCTCACATCACCAGTTAGGAGGAAAACTTAACGTAGGAACCTTTGAGAATCCATCTTTGTGTGGTAGCTTAAGTGAGACAGTTAGATACGTTCTCACATCACCAGTTAGGAGGAAAACTTAACGTAGGAACCTTTGAGAATCCATCTTTGTGTGGTAGCTTAAGTGAGTCAGTTAGATACGTTCTCACATCACCAGTTAGGAGGAAAACTTAACGTAGGAACCTTTGAAATCCATCTTTGTGGCAGGCCAGCTTAAGTGGTCAGTTGAATACGTTCTCACATCACCAGTGGGAAAGAACTTAACATTCTGGAATATTTGAGAATCCATCTTTCTGTGGTAGCTAAAGTGAGTCAGTTAGATACGTTCTCACATCACCAGTTAGGAGGAAAACTTAACGTAGGAACCTTTGAGAATCCATCTTTGTGTGGTAGCTTAAGTGAGTCAGTTAGATACGTTCTCACATCGCCAGTTAGGAGGAAAACTTAACGTAGGAACCTTTGAGAATCCATCTTTGTGTGGTAGCTTAAGTGAGTCAGTTAGATACGTTCTCACATCACCAGTTAGGAGGAAAACTTAACGTAGGAACCTTTGAGAATCCATCTTTGTGTGGTAGCTTAAGTGAGTCAGTTAGATACGTTCTTACATCACCAGTTAGGAGAAAAACTTAACGTAGGAACCTTTGAGAATCCATCTTTGTGTGGTAGCTTAAGTGAGTCAGTTAGATACGTTCTCACATCACCAGTTAGGAGGAAAACTTAACGTAGGAACCTTTGAGAATCCATCTTTGTGTGGTAGCTTAAGTGAGTCAGCTAGATACGTTCTCACATCACCAGTTAGGAGGAAAACTTAACGTAGGAACCTTTGAGAATCCATCTATGTGTGGTAGCTTAAGTGAGAGAGTTTGATACGTTCTCACATCACCAGTTAGGAGGAAAACTTAACGTAGGAACCTTTGAGAATCCATCTTTGTGTGGTAGCTTAAGTGAGACAGTTAGATACGTTCTCACATCACCAGTTAGGAGGAAAACTTAACGTAGGAACCTTTGAGAATCCATCTTTGTGTGGTAGCTTAAGTGAGACAGTTAGATACGTTCTCACATCACCAGTTAGGAGGAAAACTTAACGTAGGAACCTTTGAGAATCCATCTTTGTGTGGTAGGTTAAGTGAGACAGTTAGATACATCACCAGTTAGGGGGAAAAAGTTAACTTAAAAACCTAACCTAACCAAAACATCAACATCACTCACCTGTTGATAGCTTGTATGTGTTAATGTGACCGTATCATAAAACGTCACAGGCTTCCCTCCTCCGTATCCGTTAACCACTTCATTCCCTTGCCTTAATCCGAAGTCGTTGTTGTTATTCCCTTGATCGAACACCTCATCGAATTGGAAGTAGTCATTCAGGTCGCCGCCGCGTTCGAAATCTCGCTTCTGGGCCACGACTTTGATCAACGGCCGTCTACTTGGGGTTGATAGCGTGAGTGGAATGATATCCGGGATGACTGAAGATGATGATAGTTGAGGAATGATTGATAGAACAGCGAGAAGCACATACTGAATGGCGCTTACAGAGTATTTCTTCATTTTTCCTTCTACCTGTAAATGGACAATTAGACCAGTTAAATAATAGTTGTAGTAGTAGTAGTAGCAGTAGTAGTAGTAGTAGTAGTAGTAGTAGTAGTAGTAGTAGTAGTAGTAGTAGTAGTAGTAGTAGTATTAGTAGTACAAACAATATTAAGTAATACAATTGCATCTTTAAGTAACATTATCATCAATACGGGTCTAGCAAGTAACGGAAATAGCAAAAAGTAACAGTAACTCAACCCCACTCCCCATTTCAGGAACACCACATTTAAGCAACACAGATAACCCACAGGATCACTTAATAAGTAACATAAAGTAGCAAAGGTAGTGTATCTAGGAACATTAATAGGCAGTTCTAGTAGTAATAAGTGCTAGCAGTAGCTTTAACTAGCAAGGAAGTATAGTCATGAACACAGGAACACTATCGAGTAACTTGAAATAGCCTTAAGTAACTTTAGGTAGCCTTAATAGCACGTAGTATCCCCAAAAAGTCAAAAACAGCGTAGCAACATTAATACCCTCACTAGGAACAATAGCAAGTAGCCCTAGGTAGCTCCAGGTAGTCCGAGATAGCCCTAGACAGCTCCAAGTAGTCTGACGTAGCACCAGGTAGCAACCACTCGCGTCCAGTACAACAGGTGGCGAGTAACTGACTTGAAGCTGTGTGTTGGAGACGCTTGTTAACTGCTGTTGTAACTTTCTCTCTCTCTCTGGGGATGTCTTCGTCTTACTCATTAAAGATAAAACAATGTATTTAACCTAAGAATCTCCAAGACTGGGCACATTCTCTGAACGTTGGTCATACTAGTCGGACGTGTCAGCCTTGTGCTTAACGGGAACGCTGTTGATTTTCACTGGCTGCCTAAGCATTGCACCATGCCTGGGGAGAGTGGTGGGCAGAAACCTGTGAAGATTTTGGCTATAAAGTAGAAAAGATTCCCCTACTGAACAGCTTAGAAGACGACCTGAGGCGTTCAAGTAGAGAATCGGGAGATGATGATCCGCCGCCAACAACAATGGAGGTGACAGACAGTTTTCAAGAGGTGATTAGTAAGAAAGAGAAGAAGAGGAGGCGAGAGTTGGTGAAGGTAGTGACAGGAAGAGAAGGACGACACACAGCAGGTGTTGACTGAATCCAACACCCTTCAAGAGTCAGACCCCAGTGATTATGACAGTGACGGTAATGTTTCTATGGGAAACACTAGCCACAGTGGAAACAGCAATGCCATGGACCCTATCACCCTGCCCTCTGCCAAACAAACAAGTAAGCTGAATCTCCACTTTCCCAAGGATTCATTAAAATCCGTCGAGGATCGGTTTAATTGGATGATGAAGTACTGCAGACAGCATGGTCCCAACATTCAATTCCGACAAGGTAAGAACGGGAACTTTATCAAATGTCAGACTCCTGAAGTCTATGAAACCCTTAGTACTGTTGCCTTTGGCGGGGTTGTAGTGGATTTCTCCCCTGCAAACGCTGTTTGTCGCTGCGTAGCCGACCCCACGAATTCCACAGTGTATGCCTCGTGGTCTAGGTCAACCAGCGCCGCCATACATCACGGAGCGGGGGTCAACTACTAAGCCACGCCAACCCCCGCTATTTAAGACCTGACCCCGTGGTCACCTCTCTCTTAATACCTCCACCAACCAGCCAGTAACACCTTCTCCTCCTCCGCCTGCCTGGCGGTCCTCGCTCCCGCCGGCGAGCATGGCGACCCACAGGCTGGTCCTCCTCTGAGCATCCTCACCAACCAGCTCTCTCTACATCACGCTTGTAACCATGCTGCCTTCCCAGCACCAAGCTGTATTGTACATCCAATACAACATGTATACAGAGAGCACATTGTGAGTTTCCTTTCATCCTGAGTGTGAACCAAACAACCTGTACCCCACAGGGTAACTTATTCACAAATGCGTGAGTACAGGCGTGTGAGGCAGTGTGTCTGGCCTCACACTTTGTTATTCACATTTGCGTGAGAAGTATTCAAGCACATTATGTGAGGACCACCATATGTACGGTAATAACACAGTAAATATAGTTTATACCTTTAGAATAACTCAAGAGGAAATATAAGGCACTAGAGTGTGAAGTAAGAAGACGATCTGAACAATTGGTAAATTTTTATTTATTTTAACTAGTAATTAGGAAATACAAATTAAAACTAAATAAATGAATCAAAATAGAAATATATGCAGAAATATATTGAGAAATAACAAAAATATCCAATATTACCAAAACTATAATAAAAACCCACAATAAAAACTAGAAAAAAAAAGATGTGGATCATCCTTCTATTGACACAAGGATCATGGAGGGACTCCCCTAACATATAAAGGCCCAAGAAAACATGAAATAGAATAACTTGGCCTGACTGAGACCGGCCTGGTACTGCACCCTCAGAGCTAATGGTTCATCTCTATATCACCAACCA